GAGGAGTAAAGGAAACAATGTGCTTCTATTAAATGCCAAGGGGAGGCTTGTGCCGTAGAAAAGAGAGACCTGCTCTTGTTTAACCCTACGCGACTGGGGAGAAATTGGGAACAAGCCTGCAGGGCTAGAAGTTTAAATGTCACAAGGCCGGGAAATAATGATCATTGGATGCAATTTGACTGTGATTATATAAAGCGTGGGTCTGGTTATGACTTCTGACATGAGACTGGATTCAGCAAAGCATGTGGCGAGATGCCTGGCCTGCAGCTCTGGGCTGCGATGGGTCTGATCATGGAGGATAAGCACGGCTGAACTGCAGTATTATCTGGAGCAAAAGTGCAGCTTATCTTTCAGAGTATCCGGGGCATGGAAAGGAGGTAGGATTTTTAAGGCAGATTGGTGGCAAAACTTCGATATGGGGTCTATTTTTCTTCTTAAAATTAAAATTAAAGGGCTGCTGCTCAAATGTATACCGATAGACAATAAAAACGCAACCGATGAGCATATGAACCAGTAGCATTTGTTGTGTTTTAGTGCCTCCCAGTACAGTGTTTTAACTTTGATTGTGCAAGAAACACAACAACCTTGTTTTTCTCATTGAATTCTGATACTTTTAAAAGAGACAGTAGATCCATAGCTGCCAGTAACAAGACAGACATTATCATGACCATTTTAAACCTCTAATGCTCTCATTCATCAGCTACTGTAGGTCAGAACATTATCAATAATCAGTGCTCTGGTGACATGCTCTGCACATGGTCATCAGCTGCTATTGAACGGCTATGTAAAATCAAGAGAATGGTTACTGGTTTCTATTTATCTTTTGCATATAGTTTGCTAAAGGATTTTAAGCAATCAGATTATGAATAGTGATGATTACAGGACAGCTTTTGCTTTTTTCTTTTTCCTACTAGATGTATGAGGTTATTTCTACTTGTCAATGTAGGTGAAGTTCATATTTCAGCCTAAAGGCTTATCAGACCGGTGTGTCCCCAGGTTTCTGTAGCATGGAATGGACTGGGAGACTGTGACTTTCCCGTTGATGGGAATGCTAGTCCATTGGTAGGGTGGTCCCAGCAATCCAGGTGCCATTTATACAGCTGTGCGGATGGGTGTAGCCAGGGCAAAGTCCCTGGAATATAAGAGTAGAACAATAGGATCTGCGCCTGTGGCTGGAAGGTTGCCGGATCGTTTCCCTCGGCCAGCTGAGGAATCCTACTACGTTGGGCCCCTGGCCAAGGCCCTTAAGCCCAACTGCTCTACAGGCGCCATATAATTGGCTGATCATGCGCTCTGACCCCAAGCTTCTCTCTCCCTGTCTGTGTGTCTCATGGAGAGCAAGTTGGGGTATGTATACAGTATATCTGGTCAATACAGTTATTTCTTCCAGTAATTAATCCAGAAGCCCTAAGGCCTTTGCTCTCTGCTGCCCCTGCGTGCCATGGATGGCACCAGCCAAGAGCAAGGATGGGAAGATCAATCAAACAAGTTTAATTCAAGTTAAGGTCTATGTCATTCAGTGTCTATCACAGCAGTTGAGCTGTGAAAGGAAATTTACTATTGATGCAAGGCCATTCTGCCCATGGAGTTTATTAATCAGAATGTGTCATCTATTTTTTTTTTGTATTATTTGTGATAACAGGACCAGGTAGGTTGTTTCACTCTCCCACAAACCACTGTGTGAAGAATCTACTTTCTCATTCTTGAATACTCTTCCTCTTATCTTCCACTTGAGTCCTCCAGTCCCCATTCAACATCTACCCCCAAGATGTTTAATTGCTCTAAATGTCACTTCCTGCCTTCCCCCCCCCCACAAAGAACTCCTAAACAATGTGACAAAATTAGAATCTAGAAAAAAAACACAAAACTTTGCTGGATCATGACTGAATTGTCCCAAGGCACAAAAAAAAGGATCATTACAAATGCTCTTTTTTACACTCCATCTAAAAAATAATAACATCAACATGTATCATAATAGCCTTTTTTTAAAAAGTCTTTCATCACCAGAATACAATTATTAAACTCTGAGTAATCGCCAGACCTCTTTATGCAGGAACAGGTAGCTGCAAGGTCTCAATTTGTGTTCTATGGTGTCCTGCTGAAGGAATATACCGTAGGCTGGGGGAGCCAACTGAGACCCTGAAAGACTGAAATAAAAACAGCAAGGCTGTTACGTTCAAAGAAAATTGGCTTCCAGTGATCTCATTATCAGGCATAATGCTAAGGGGGTGAATCTAAAGAACGCACCATTTGAGAGAGAAAATTAAGTGAAGCCACTGATTTCTTTAAAGGCTCTTGCTTTTATGTACGGTTACATATACAGTATACAATGCCCAATGTATATCTGTTCCTCCCTTGCTTAGTGATGCTTCTTAGTTTTTAAGATCCTTTCGTCTTAGCATTAGCATTTGTGTATTGGAAGCCTAAAGTAAAGGCTTTAAGGTCATTTTAGTAAGAATATGATATGATATCTAGGTAAATAATTTTATCTTTTATTATATATAAAATTACCACGTCATTATATATATATAACTCCATATAATCTATATATTCTGTTGATTTCAGAGTATGAAGATAAGGATGTGAAGCATCGTTTAGTACTGGTGTTGAAATCATGCTTGAAAAATGCTTTTCTTGATCTATTACAGGAATTGGGATTTAATTGAGTTCAAGGGACATGTTATACTGTTTTTTCTTGGATCAGTCCAATAAATGAACTTGTTGCTGAGATCTGGCACCAGGGACCCTGGGTGTCTTGTTGTGGTATTACTCATATTTCTCAGATATTTAATTTTTCTTTTGGGGGGGGGTATTGGAAGAAAGGTTATTTCCTTGCCTTTCAGCCAAATAATATTGTGAATCAAAATTAGAAGGAGCTGTGGAATCTCGAGTGCGGAGTCTGAGAATGACATTGAGAAAGCCCGAGGGGATTCCATAATAAACCTCAGAAAACAGAGCAGGAAAAGTCATCTCCACAGAGAAAGCTGACAAAACACAGCCAGTATTTACTTACCACAGTACAACACACAGCGGCTATTTTTGTTATCTCCTCCATGCCTGGCCAAGAATGCTTTTCATCATACGTGCCTTAGGCCGTGCAAATAAAGATTCGAAATGCAGAGGACTGCATGACTACAGTCTGTCTGTGGAAAGTCTGATTGAATGTCCCCAAAAAACAGGAAAGCAATATGGGACAGATACCAGTTTTATATTGTCTGTATGGAATTATCCACATCCTCAGATGAGATTGCACTGACCTATCTGTGACCTGCATTGGTCATCACTTAGAACTTACTTCTGTCCTTTTTTTTTTTGTTGACCTTCTAAGACGGTAAAAATCGGAAGATACTGTATTTCTTTTGTTTGGTTTATAATATATACCAATATATTAAAATGTTTTGTCCTAATATATTAATATACAGTGGGAATAGAAAGTCACCACCCCCTTTCAAAATGTTCACCTCTTGTTGCCCTAAAGCCCAAAAAGAAGACAAATAAAACCAAACTTTTTCCAGTTTTATTTACAACTTGTACTGCGCAACATCCTTTGTCTGAGAGGGTTGCTCAGTGTTCCTTTAAATTGTGGCGTCTTGGAGTGCCTGACTGAGCAGTAACATCTTTTCACCGAACTCCAGATTGTCGGCACTCGGGGAAATAAACAAAAAAGCTGCAGCACCGACCTGCCAGACTGGCCTTCTACTCTCGCTGTGCTCCTAAACCTTTCCCAAGACCGTCTGTGACCCCACAAGCCCCACAGTGTTTATAACGGAGAGAGGGACCAGTACTGAGGGTCGTCAGGTGAAAATTCCCAATATGCTCGTCTGGTCAATGCAATGTGATTTTCAGGTACAGTACAATGACAAATAAACGCACTGGAGGACAATGAATCAGACGTTGTTAGGTGTATGGTGAAATTGACCTAGGGAGATGACAATCAGAACACCTATTTCAATTCTTAGCTGTAATCCCATTAAAAACCCATTGACTGGCGCCTTAGACTGTGCTGAGTAAATGATGGATTCACGGCCAGTGTGCACTGTTGCTAGACAGTGAGACCAGACATTCACTCTTGGTTCCCACTCACCCTGACCACGAGTGTGGTGGCTAAGGTCAAAGACTAGAAATGTTACAATAAGCAGCTCTGAATGCCTTTAATAGTTAACAGTTGCTCTCTGGGTTTCCAGTATGATCTGTAATTCCTGTTTGATGATGGCACTTTCCGAAGAAAACACTCTTTTGTTCTCGCCGATAACTTTACGAGTCTGATTCTTGTCTCGGTGCCATTCCAGAACATGCCCTGTAGCATTCACTGTGGTCAGGAAGATTCTAAATTTAATTATGAATATAATTTCGATACTCTGAAGTGTTTTGTACCAGCTACAAGAAAACATTTTTTTGTAACCTCTTTCCATTTGTGGGCTCAGCCTTTTATAGAATCTGATTGTGAATTTCTGGCTTTTTGAATTTCCGGTGTTTTATTTATCTGCTTGCTTTTACTTCAAAAAGACGGGTCTGACTGCAGTGATGAACAGCTGCAGTAAGAGGCGTGGCATGATTTCCCTGGAGCGCTTTGCGTGTGGGGAAAGGGAATGATGGGAGATGCAGGGTACAGGGGAAGGAGGGTCCTGCATGGATAAGAAAACTGAAGGTCTGCACTTCTGGGTCTCAGGTCCGAGTTTTCCACCAGGAGACAATGCAGAGACCCCCGCCTGACGCCGCCATGACCCTTCCACCTTCCCCCCCAACACCCAGAAACAAACTCCCTTCCCCAGCCAGTCTAGCAGTGTGGAAGAAGCAGTGGTTTTACACAGCAAATCTGCCCTGACAGTGTTTAGGAACAGAGCTTAGAGCTGCAGGTTATTTTAGATAAGTGCCTAAGTGCTCGCATTTGCAAAAAAAAAAAAGGAGGGGTCCAGCTAATGAGACACTTTGTGTTTCGGTTAAAAACAAAGGAAGAAGAAAATGAAGGAATATTGGGGACAGTGTAGATAGTGCTGCGAGTGCCATTTCTAATCACAGTTCTCTTTCAGGCAGATGCCGTTTTTGTCTGCCACATCAGCCTCATCTTAAACACCGGCCATGCCCTGCAGAGCAGCTACTAACTTGTTTACGCTTCTGACTTCAACGATGAAAGGGGGAAAAAAAATGCAAATCGAAGATCAAGTTATTGCCGTGGCTGTAAATCCTGTGTTTTTACAAAAAAAGACTAAGTAAGTGATCTTCCGTTCAGTTTGTAAAGACGTGTCTCGGCAGAGGCAGGGAGACAAGTTTGGAATTGGTTGCTTCACCATAAGCTGGAAGCTGATTATCTGTTAAGTCGCTTGTGCATACATTTTAAAGCATGAAGTTTCAGACTTTTTCTTCAAAAACCAGGACAAGCCCAGTCGATATCTTTCTGTTGCTTACAATTTGGCAGTGTTTGGCCAGAATCGCTGAGTTAGACCCTGGGCTTCCTGCCAGCAGTTTGTCGTGAGTGTTGCTCTGAGGCCAGCATAGCTAGCGATTTTCTGTGTGTCAGCGGTGATCAATGTTTCAATCCCAAACCGCACATTTTTCATATTAAAAGCGCTGATCTACAAAGTCCGAAGTAAATGATCAGAGTGGCTTGGCATTGACTTTTTCAGCTAATCCATTTGTGCGTTTTCAATTACATATAAGCTCTGTGGCACAGTAAGCACCACGCAGATATGGAAATGTTGTCGTGTTATGACCTAAATATCAGGCGAATGGGCACAAAAATAGGTCATCCCACTCTGTATCCCTTAACAGAATTGTATTTTACCAACAGGTTTAAAAACAAACCATTTGCCATGGAGAAAGGAATGTGTTAGAGGAAAGAGAGAGTTTTTCAGAGCCAAGGAGTACACATCAGGTTCAAAGCCTTTAAGGTGAACATGTTGTTAGTTCTTCACTCAGTATGAAAAATAGATCTTATTCCGTATGATTTTTGAGCTTTAGACATAGATCCAGTTTGACTTCCTTTCTCCTTCAAATGGCGAAATGCATTTAGTAAATTCTTAGTGAAAATAATGTCCATGTGATTTAGGACATTCAAAAGAACTGGCAGCCCAGCATCCATCAAAAAGTTTCTGGGAGGAGTGGAGTGTCAGTGGATTAAAAAGATGGGTGGGAGCATTTTAGTCAGTTTCAAGCTGACAGAACTTTTTAAATATTGTTTTATTCCTCTATAAATCCTTCTTATCAGACTTATTAAATATCGGTCTATGACAGTGCAAAGTCTCTTTTACACAGTAGGCTCTGCAGGAGGTCAGGGTATGGGTCATTGCCTCTCTGGTTTGTGCGGCAGGGCGGGTGGCGCAGTGTGATTCATGTTTGCTAGATTTCATTGGGAGTTATCGCATCTTACCCCCCACAGACAGCTTCATCATGTTAGCATGCACAACTGGAGAGCCGGGCAAACGGGAGGAGCAGATAGGAGCTTACCCCAGCACTGACCCACATGTGAACTGCAGTCTTGTGCTTGTCTGGGTTGCATCACGCTTCTGATCATGTGAAAGTGAATGCTGTTAGTATCGGGCTTACTGCTAGGCAGCGTTTGCACACTTGACTCTAAGTTATATGAAACTCCCTTTGGTTGCTCATTGTTAATGAGCTCATCTGTGACCCCAAAAGAGGACTTAAGCCCTCTTTAAAAAATGTACTTTCAAGGAAGATGAGCCCAGTATCTCTTGTCATTTGTAGACCTCTCTACGAACTGACTTCCTTGTTTGTCAGGGACACACTGTAATCCGGCCAAAGGGAGAACACTGGACTGCGGTCATTCATTAGGGAAAAGGCCAAGTGATGCAGCCTCTTTGCTATGTGAGAGAAATGCTTTTTAAACAGTTTCAGAAATCACATTTTTTCTTGGCATTATTGTAAATCTGATGGAAACGTTTTAACGTTCTGCACAAAACACCGTGACAGTTTGTAAAACATAATAATAACGACACACACACACCCAAAAAAAAAAACTGAATAATATCACTGCAACAAATTCCTGCTACTATTACTATAAAAAAAACCTCAGGAGAAATAACCCGAAGAGCCCGGCCCCTCCTCTGTATCACCATTGCCTGCATGAAAGAAGCATTGGTTTAACATGAAAACCACACACACACTCACACACACATACACACTCACACATTCACTCACACACACACTCACACATTCACTCACACACACACACTAAAACTCACACCCACATACACACACACACTCACACTCATCCCCAGTCTCAGGAGTCCCTGTAAACTTCAGAGCCTCCAACTCGCAGACCTTTCACAGCTGAACCCCACGGAGCCAGGCCTGCGCAGAAGCCTGAGGAGCAATTTTTCCGACAGCCTCATCAATAATCCAAGCTTCCGACTCGCTGCCATCATTCCCGATCTGCTTTAACTCCGACAGGACTCGGGGAGGAGGAGGAGGGGGGCTGGAGCTGCCAGTCCTAAAGGGCAGGCTGCAATAAATGTCACTTCGCATCAGCTGGAGCACATTTCGTGAAGCAAACACTTGTCGAAGTGGGAGGCAGGGCAGAGCAGCTCCTTCTATTCCTGGTCTCATCTCGGGGTAACCTCAATAGAAAGGGACAGCGCAAAAGAACTGAGCAAAGTTACTTTTTCACCCCTCCTCTCCCTCTTTTTTTTCCCTCCTCCCTCTCCTATCTTTTAATGAATGTTTCAATGATTTATCTCCAGACAGAGAGCGAAGGAGGAGGCGGGCGGTTAGAGAAAGTGAACTGTGGGGTATTAGCCACTCTCCAGTCCGCCAGTCAGACAGAAAGAGACAGTTTTGGCAACGAACATGGGCAAAAGAGCAGCGGAGAAATGGATCCATAGCAGCTTCCAGGGTCCAGCAGAGAGACTTGCCCGATAATCAAACTGGCATTTCACCTGAACCTGCTGCCGCCTGGGAGCAAAATCCAGCTGTATTTTAAGCCCCTGTGGGACAATCTTTAACTCCCCATCCGCCCTCTCAAGTCCTGTGTTAAGTTATGAGGCAGAATTGTTTTTTTCTCCCCTTTAACGAGACAAATAAGGCAAACTGACTGCAGAGGCTTTGCCCTTTTGAAAGAAACGCGCCGAGTGGTTATAAAAAGCCTCGCCAAGATACAGGCAGGCTAATGAAAGAGACTACAGCTGCTTGCAGAGCCATGGAGTGACTTCCTGACAGTATCTGCATGAGTTTTATTTTCTTATGGAAGGTTGATGCCACTTCTGCGCCAGAGTTGTAAAAGCTCCATGGCTTGTGTGGTTACAACCCCCTGAGCTAATTTTTCTAGTCTTTCACGGACAGTCTTTTCTGATCTTTTATACAGTGAACAACCTCATCAGGTATTGTGGTTCTCCGCTACCAATGATGCTCTTGATCCAGGAGGGCTAAGTACATTTGAGTTGTTTTCTTGTAAAGGCATTATATAAAATTAAATTGTTAAGGAAACTTAGACAGTGGAGTCGCGGGTTTATCCAGGAAGCAGCACACACATGAACTGTACACAAAGCTTCCCTATTATGTGAAATCTATAAGTGTGGCAATCCATCTTCCTCGGAGTCTTATACTCAGGGCCTGTCTGTCTGCTGCTGCTTTTCCAATGAGCCAATTCACTCTGCTGGCAAAGGGCCTGAGTCATGCTCGGTCACCCCAGTGCTTAAAGCAATCATACGCACCAAGAAACTTTCTGTGCTTGACCTAGGAAACTGAATTGTTTTTCTTTTATTATTGTTTAAGTGCTTCTGTTTTTAAGCAATCCATAACTAGATAATTGCCTGCATTCTGTGTTTAGACAGACTGTACTGAATATGGTTTCAGCGTGCAGCATTGTGTTTGTCCGTTATTACTTCAATGACCAAGATCCGTGATGATGAGACCCATACAAGTTTGCAAATGGTTTTACGGAGGTTATGTAATTAGCCCTGCCCTTTCCAAACTCTGTGCAGGGTTATCCGTTAATATCAGTCTGCAATGTTATCTTTATTTCAGCATGAAATGTGTGTATAGCAAGAGAGGGCGAGAGATGCTGTTTTGTTTTCTATATACAGTAGTATTGAACGCACACATTAATAGTCCCTACAGTTAAGTTTTTAAGGGTAGTTAAGTGTTTTATTACACTCTCATAAAGGAGGTGTATTGTGGAGAATTAAATGCAGGCCATTGGCCATGGGCTTGGGGTAGCTGTGCACTTCTCAAGCTCTAATGCACTTTCATGGTAAGGAGAGCAGGCAGCCAGGAGGCTGTGCAGGATATGAGGGTGGACGTGACTGAGCAGCCGTGCTGTGGCAGTCCCTGCTGTGGAGTGAAGTGAACCGAGACGCTGGAAGTGTGAATCAGGGTCACGTACACCTTCCTCTGTCTGTTTCTGTTCTCCTTCCTGGAACCTTAAGTGACTTAGGAGTCAGCTTGGAAGCTCGCTGCCTGTATTACCTCACTTTACCACTCTCTTCCCTGTCTGATTGCATTCCAGGTGTGTCTTCAATGTTATGACTTCCAATAGAAATGGGATGAGCCCCCAGCCCATCAGCATGACTTCATGTCTGAGACCCTCTTCCTTGTCATCTTCTGCAGCTGTTCTTCCTTGCTGCCCCCTTCTCTCGTTCGCCTTACGGTCTTGGGGTTCAGACGCACATCGACGTGCACATCCACCCTCACTGTAGGTCAGCGTTCATTTATCACATCGCCCTCCCGCCAGACATTTGGCAGTTCCCGCATTACACAAGGTTGCATTAGTGCAATGTCTTGTGCTTGTTTTCGGCTCTAGAACTCCTGGGAAAAAAAGGATAACAGTGTGAAGAAAGGAAATTAATCAGGAACTCACTGCACAAATTGTTTCCTAAAGTTATCTCTGGTCTAAAAGTTGAAAAGGGATGAGGACATGAGTGCTTGGCTCCTTTTCAGAAATGTCATTTTGTGTATTTTACTTAAAAATAGAACTTACGGAGGCTGGAATATGCATTTGCTATGAAGCGTACTCTGGCTTAATGCAAGGAAGATACCTTAGTAGGCATTAATAAACCTGCCCTCAAAATGGATGATAAGTAGAAGTAGAGATCCTAATGTCTGTGAAATGTCACAGGATCAGTTTTTAGTTTATTGTACCGTGCAGTGATGGTCTCCAGTACTAGGCAACTATTCATCACCTAAAAGTAGCAAATTAAAAGCGACATTGACATTGTTTCCTGCTACGATTGTCTAACGACATACTACAACGGTTCAG